ATCCATAACAGTTTCATAGATCTTAGTGGGAGTTTTATGTTCTTTTCCAATTTACTCATGTTGCTGTACCAGCGAACACTTTTTTTTTTTAATAGCCAGATTCATTAGAGCCTCGTATCTATCCATTGTGGAAGAAATTATTGCCAGAAATCCTTTGACAGCTGGTTCATTTTCACTTTGTTCTGTTTATATATTTTATAGAATTTGCCTGGTTGTATGTCTGACCTCCACGAAATACGATAGGCTTTTCTCTTTTCCTGTAATGGAAAGCTTCATTTGAGCTTTTATAGTCTTTTTTGCTCAGCTTCAGGATTCTGAGGTTCTGCCTGTAGACTCCAGTAAAACTGTTGGATATATCACCCACATTTTTAGATGGACTTTGCGTGATTTGGTTAATAGTGAATGAACAGTAGAGTATTACTTAAGCAAAGCAGACATACTTATCAGCTCCAGTGTTGGTATTTAATTGTCCTGCATTGTGCTTACCTCAGAACTCCCTCCTCTACTGTAGCTGTACTGCGTCTGGATTTATTTTGCATTGCTGGAGGTGTCTGTAAGCTCAGTAGAGACAGAGGCATGTACTTGCAGGGGGCGATAAAGGCTTTAGGTGGGTTTGACTGTCTCCTGGCAATGCCTTTCGTCTGTCTTCCCTGGCAATTTAGAGAGTGGCTTGCTAATTGAGATGCCTCCTTGGGACGGGATTAATTGAGCCTTTCTGTACCCTTATATGTACTTTTTAGAATCATAGAGTGCTTTGGGTTGGAAGGGACCTCAAAGATCATCTAGTTCCAATCCCCCTGCCATGGGCAGGGTCACCTTCCATTAGACCAAGTTGCTCAACACCTCATCCAACCTGGCCTTGAACACTTCCAGGGATGGGGCATCCACAACTTTTCTGGGCAATCTGTTCCAGTGCTTCACCACCCTCAGAGTGAAGAATTTCTTCCTTATAGCTAATCGAAATCTACTCTCTTTCATTTTAAAGCCATTGCCCCTTGTCCTATCACTGCACACCCTTGTAAAAAGTCCCTCTCCAGCTTTCCTGTAGGCCCCCTTTAGATACTGGCAAGCTGCTACAAGATCACCCCGGAGCCTTCTCTTCTCCAGGCTGAACAGCCCCAACTCTCTCAGCCCGTCTTCATAGCAGAGGTGCTCCAGCCCTTGGATCATCTTTGTGGCCCTCCTCTGGACCCGCTCCAGCAGCTCCATGTCCTTCTTGTGTTGGGGACTCCAGAGCTGAACACAGTATTCCAGGTGGGGTCTCACGAGAGCAGAGTAGATGTGCAGAATCACCTCCCTCGACCTGCTGGCCACGCTTCTTTTGATGCAGCCCAGGATGTGGTTCGCTTTCTGGGCTGCAAGCACACATCGCCAGCTCATGTTGAGCTTCTCATCCACCAGCACTCCCAAGTCCTTTTCCTCAGGGCTGCTCTCAATCCATTCTCTGCCCAGCCTGTGCTTGTGCTTGGGATTGCCCCGACCCACGTGCAGGACCTTGCACTTGGCCTTGTTGAACTTCATGAAGTTCTCACAGGCCCACCTCTCCAGCCTGTCACAGTCCCTCTGGATGGCATCCCTTCCCTCCAGCGTGTCAACCACATCACACTGTTTGATGTCATCAGCAAACTTTTGTATCCTAGTAGTGAATGTCGTCCTGAGAGAATAGCACACTGTACTGGCACATCTATTGGTAAGCTGACCCATACTGACTCTGTGTTACCCGCAGCTTACAGCTGCAAGACAGTAGGTAGAGAGTATAATATGCAGTCATGAAGGTCTTACCTCCCTCACTTGTTATTCTTCTAGATGAACAAGTTTCTCAGGGCTGAGCTATGGAAACTGTTGTAGCAAGTGTAGTGGCAATCATCTGATGTTTTCCTTTAGGATTTAACAGAAAAAGCTCTTCTTGTAATGTCCGTTTTGTCTGCTTATTTTCTGTAAGATTATTTCTTATCCAGATGTGAATCTTACAACTAAAAAAAAAAAATCAACTGAAAACTAGTTTAACTCTTAGTTTTGCTAGAAAATTACTGCTTTTTAAGGAGTCTTTATTTATTTAACTGTAAGAGAGCCTTGCCCAAATACAAGGACTGATAAATGTAATGACATTAAAGAAATCTAGTTACCTTTCCTGGCCTAAGGCCAGAACACACACAAGTTAGGTTTGGACATCTAACTTCAAAAATCCCTTGCTCAGCTTTTTCCTACTCATGAAGTGTTTAAATTCAGATAAATAGGGCCTTCTTCGCCCTTAAGGCCACATTAATATTGCATCCAGTTTTTCAAGCAGTCGTCCTTCTGATTGCCTCTTTTTAGCTGACAACTTGACATCTAGTAGAGCCAATCTGTAACAAAAATACACTTCAGCTGGCCCTGGAAATGGAGTGGGGTATTGCCTACATTTTGAGGAAACTGAAGGTAAAAGGAACTCAAAGAAACCACTTTTGCTTTTGTCCACTCCTTCACTTCTTCTTGTGTGTGTGCACATGTGCATGTCCCTTCTGGTGAATGTTCTTCTGTGGCAGCTGTGTGGAGAAGGTGATGTATACTCTCATCCCATCCGCACGAGATACTGGGACTGATACAACTCGGCTCTTCATAAGGGTGTGATCATTGTCATCTGTGCAGTGATGAACCTCACGGAGGTTAGGGAGGTCCAAAGAAGTAAACAGCTGGAGCTGTGCTGCTCTTCGCATTGCGAAGAGCTACTGGCTGAACGAAGGCAGCTGCAGAGCCAGGCTGCATATACAGAGGGGCAGAGCAGAGGGTGTTGGGCCTGGGATAGCATGGGGCAGGCCAAAGTGATGGAGGGTGGTTGTCTGGGTTGATGAGGCAGGAGATTGATGAGGAAGAGATGGGACACTGTTATCTCTTGGGTTTGTTACACTGCGCACTCCCTGTGTGCAGGTGTCTCCCAGGCTTAGTGAGGAGGGATAAATTCAGCGTTTCTAGAAGGTCAGGAAAAGAACGTATCGACTATATAAAGATGTGGACTTCATTAAAAACAGCTCTATTAGGAAGGATTGTCTACCCAATTGCTCACGTTATACAAGATGCAACTTAGGGCTCAGCTGGACTCATTCCCAGGGTTCATAAATCTATGCATGAAGAAAGCAGAGCAAGTGAGCGCTAAAAGTTCCTTTGGGGTTTTCTTTTGTTTTGCTTTTTGTTTTAAATTTTGAAACTCACATTTAGTGTGTATATTTTAACATGTTCATGTGAAACACATCAAAGTAAACACATGCAGTGTGTTTCTTTCACTGTCATTAATCACTGTAGTGTTTTAAAAAGTAACAAAAAATACACTAATGTTAAACTGTGGTCAAGAATTGAAATATACACAGCTCTAGAAATCTAAAGTTTGCCTTTGCCAGGACAAATGTGTCTTGACAACCGTGTATGTTTATGTATCAGCATATGAAGCAAGTCTGGTTAGCAAATACGGATTTTTTCCATTAAAAAACCCCAACTTACATTGAAACGTTTTAAAGCACTTTTTCAAGCTACCTGAAGACTCAGCTAAAATTCAGGAGAAGAAAATTACTATAAATTCTCCAAACAGCTCTGAGAACTATTGTCCTCCAACACTTTATCACAAAACACACTTGCTTTTTAAGTCCTGCTTATGTCTTTATGTGGGCAATTTCTGTTTGTGGCACAACTGAGTAACAAAGAGTGGATGTGAAAGATAAGGGTTATTTGGGGCATTTTTTGCTACTGAGGTGCCAGTGAACAGCCTGTGAGAAGTCCACCTGTCCTTTCCAGAGGTGTTGGGGATAGGCTGTCAGCCAGAGTGGAGGACAGCTATTTTTGCTTATACTTAAGGTTCCTTCTTCCCTATTTTCCATAGAAAAGAACTGTGCTCTCTCCCTTTCTGCAAACCTGAGTGCTACTGGAAGGGGACGGACAGACGAAGTGGCACTTTTGTTACTTCCAACAGCCTCCATTGTGTATAGCTTCTGCTGCTCCTCTCTGCTTTCCCCAGCAGCATCATAACATAGACATCAGCCTGATCCCTGTCAGTCCATTCTCTGGGGCCTGGGTACTGGTTATGTATGTGAAATGCTTTAGTAATTCTCCTTGCTCTGATGAATGCCTATATGAAAGGAATTGGGACAGAACTGGCAGTGTGCAAGCTAAGAAAGATGATGCTGTCATGTTGCCCTTCACTCAGATGTGGGAAGTTGTTTTCATAAATATGAGTGAGACTTTAAAAAAGAACTTGGATAGAATATAATTAACTGGGGATCCTTATAGATGTTTTTTCAGACTTAATTCAGCATCCTTGTGGAAGCTGTTTACTTTTTTTTTTTTAACTTCACAGAGAAATTGTACTTGCGGGGCTCTGCTTTTTGTCTTTTTTGCTTAAAGACACAGAAAAGAGAACGACTGTCAGAAGCATAAGCCAGAGGTGCTGTATTCTCTCAGCTTCTTTTTCCTGTGGAGGGAATTAAATGTACTCCCTATTTTTCAATATTATACATAACAGATAAACAAGCATGCATATTTTTCACAGAAGTAACAGCCACTCAGACAATTCCTGCTCCATATTCCTGCTTAATCTGACTTTGTGAAAGCTTTAGAGGACTGCTGTTTCTTCCCACAAATATTATACTTTTTGCGCTTTTAACTTTTTCGTGTCCACACTGTGCATGGCCCAATTTACCAGAGCATTCTTGTTGTCTTTGTGACTAATCAGAGCAACATATCAGTTCATCTCACTTTACTGAAATGTCACACTTAGGAGCCCTCTTGCCTGAGGCTTTCTGGGGGTAAGTGCTTTTCAAAATCTACTTATCTTTCCTGTGGCAGAAAGAGAGAGCCAGGAAGTCTGGAATCATAATTTAGGTGCCTTGATCAGGTAGGATGAATTTGGGCTGAGGCATGTAACTTTTAGGCAGAAAATATGTGAGTTTTCAAAATATGTCAATCCAATTAATTCTGAGTCTCTTGGAGAAGCATGGCAGAATGTGAAATACTTCTCAATTTAAAAGTTCATAATGTTTTCCTCTCCCTTTACAGAGGCTGCTATTGACCCCCCTAAGACACCTGACAGCGAACCTTTGTTTACAAAACTGCGCAATCCAAGCACAGGCAAGTTTTGGAATTGTGACATGAGCCTGTTAATGTTCTAGTTGATTGCTTCCACCACCAAAAGATTCATATTTTGCAAGCTGAAATAGTGATGATAGTGTAAGTCTTACATGCCAAAGATATTGCTGGTGATGCCAGATAGTTAATGCTGTGCAAACATTTAGGATTTCTTTTATAATTTAAATTGGTTGAACTGTTTATTCATCAGGAATATTGGCAGCAGAAAAAAGAGGTGTAATTTAAGTTCTGCTTTTAAGTGCATTAGTTTTGGGGAGCTTACAGTGTTGGGTGTTGAGCCTGGGCACTTTTTTAATCCAAATTCAGGCTTCATAGCATTCATCTTATGCTATAAAATAAATAGTTAGAGTTAGAAGAAGTACGTCAGTTATACTTACCAAGCTTTTTGAGTCTTTTCATTTTTAAATCTAATTTTCTTCTTTCCCTGGTCCAAGTGGTGGTGTCTCTTTTCTCGTTTGTAGATGATGAAGCGTTTTTCATTCAAAATACATTGCTAAGACCATCAAATGCAGGCGATATAATGACACCACCATCCCACAGTTACTTTCTTCTAGTCAGATTGTTCTTTTTGTCAAGGGTTTATTATTTTATGAGTAATGTAATAATTGGAGTATGAGATACTGCAGCAGAAACTTGCACTAAGCCTTGGCTGGGCTTAACATATTTTGTGTGAAAAACTCATTTCTTGCTGTTTTTTTCCTTTTTTCATAAGCTCGTTTGTTTTCTGTAGATTTAAATTGTATGTTTTTGTTTTGAAATTCACTGCTGCTATTTATGTACGTTTGTAATGGAAGTCTTCAGGTACAATATCATGATATAATAACTGCTACTTGTTCTTGAAAGAGGAAAATCATTAAAAAAAATACAGAATGTGAAATCACTTATTCATCATGATACCCGTGTTTTGATTGCTCAGATTTACAGTGGGAATATATAGCCATGGATAATTTCCACCTGCTGTATTATATTGACTTTCTAATTTGTTGTGTTTTTAAAAGCATAGATATTAATTTGCTTTTTGCTGTGGAAGAAGAGATCTATTTACCTTGTAGAATTAGAGGTCTTGGGAAAGGTTTCTGGGAAAAAACTAAAGTACAATGATTACCTGGGTGTGTTCCTTTAGAATTTACAGGAGCTTATTTATAGACCTGCATAAATATTTCAGTCATGTAGCCTATTATAAGTATAGGGTCTGGAAACGGAAGGAATGAGAACACCCTATTAATGTATTTTCCTTACGTTTGGGTCTAACAGATGAATTGTTGATGCCAGATATTGTGCAAATACGCACTGAAGAACTCAGCACACTATAGAATTCACGCTAACTACTTTATTAAATAGAAGTATGCGTGGCCCTTTTTATAGACAGGTGAAAAGGACAAAATTTCTATCCCTTGCAAAGACTATAAACTGGGGTTTGGCCTGCAATTCAAAGTACCACAAGAAGCATTTTTCAAAGTGCTGAACTAAAAGAAGGGAAATAACCATACCACTAGACCGAAGCAACTAATTGAACTGGTAAAGTTGTGAGCAAAGCTGCCTAGGTTCTTTCCCCATCCCCTAGAGTTTCTATCTAATGACACTGTTGGGATCCTGTGATGACCATCCTTTTAACATAAGCAAATAATTTAAGGAGCTGGAGTCAGGCAATAGGAATGGTCCCTTTCCCGAGATTTTTTTAGGTTGCCACTGCATTTGGCTAGTGTGCTCACTGGTGTAGGAGGCATAAGTTGTTCTGTGAGTAGTCTGATGTCTGGCGCTGATCAAACTGTGGTGTAGACCCTTGTTGAGAAGCACATGGTAATGATCAAAACCTCTGTTCCCTCTTGTATCTGCTCCTCATTCCTCCCCTCCTCTCCCCAAAAGAAAAATTATTATTGGAGAACTGAAACTGTATACTTAGGTGAGGTTAAACATCTGGTCAGCCTTTTGGATAAAGGGAGAAAAATGCATTATCAGTTATTTTTGGGAAGTGATGCGTCTGCCTATTTTAGCTGACCTCCCCCTGCACCTAGGGATCTCTGTAGACTGAGAACAGCGGGGCTAACGCCGACTTGTAGAGGCTTACACTGAGATGTTTTTGAGCCAGCCCATGATCTCCAAATCAGTGCATCTTTGTGATTTATGTGTTTTGAGTAGGGTTACCATGTTGTAGTTGCTTTTGTCTCTTGAAGATGGATTGATAACCAAGACTGGACCAGTCCAGCCAACAGACTCAGCTGACCAAATTTCCGTGGTCCCTTCTGTAGTTCTGAGAACTTCCTGTTTTAGATACGGAAAATGCCAATCCTGTTTGCAACATCTTCAGCACCCTTTCAGTATAACCCAGAACTAACGTGAAGTGGCAGAGCTGTGCCTGCCTGGATGGCCTGAAATAAAGCCTTCCTTTTCCTTTCCAGACTATCAAGATTTTGATGGGGACTTTGAAGCAACTTCTTTTTGCTTCCTTGTTCACCTTATTTCTCTACCCATACTGAGTCATTGGCAATCCATTTTGGTTCAAACAAAAAAATTACTTCCAATTGTCACTTGAAGGTTTGAGACTTTTGTTCCCCTAACCCAGAGCCTGATACCTTGGAGACAAACAGGATGGAAGGAGAGGGAATTTTCTTGTTTTCCACTTTACTCCTTCAGTACAGACAAAAGCTGATTTCTTGAGTGATGTTGATTTGGGTTTGGATCAAAGGCTTTGCGTTGTAAGATGAAGTATTCGCACATCTTATTTATTGATTCAAATTCAGTTTGGTTTATAGAGCTGGTAAACGAACATCTGTATATAATAGTTTTCTTTCTCAGAGCTTTCTTTGTAGTGAGTTTATATAGAATGTGTGTATGTTTGTGTGTCTGTATGTATATAAGGCACATTCTTCAGACGTATTGGGTATTCTTTTGATTTTTGTGAAAGCTTACAAACACAAACCAGATTTCTTTTCAACAGGGGAAGCAACCCTTTACTTGTTTAATAGTGGTGCACAGCAGCTGTTTGAAGTAAAAGCTTTTAATGAGGAATATCGTTCCTGGTTTATAGGTCAGACTGTTCAACAAGGTGAGTAATACAATGTATCCTTCCTCCAATTGTAACTATTGTTCATACACAAACCTTCCCTCTCTCTTCTAGTAAATTTACAGGTGTTTTTCCTAGTTGTTTGAGGCATGCTGCATCACATCCCCACCTTCTCACACACTCGTTTGCCATCTGGATTTAACCAGGGCTGGGGGCTTTGTGGTCTCTCTTTAAAAGGCTGCCTTTGGCAGCCTCAATTAGACAGATGTTCATTTGCCTTTGAGGAGGGGTGGGGGTGGGGGAGAGGGGGGAAGTAATTCAATTGTATTTAAACTGAAGTGCCATAAAATACTTAGCTTGCCTTGTCAATCAGACCAGCAAGTCCTCAGTGTGAGTAAAATATGTGTTATCCTATGGGAGGGGAAAAAGGGCTGGAAGGCCTTAGCTAGCTAAGCAGAGTGGTGTGTTAGAGCTCCAAGCATTGGAAAGTATGGTCTTGCTTTCTTTTAATTACCTCTGTAGTCCCCTGTGTGAGTGCTGGGATCTCAGGATAGGCCTACTGTCTGAAGGTACCATTTCAGTGTTTTGTCTGAAGTGAGCTTGTCTGTATCATCCCAGTCGTTCTCTGATCCTAGCTTGCCTTTCTGAAAATGAGGAGGAAACTTCTCTAACTGCTGTGGCAGCTTTAACAGTCCTTTATAGGAGTGTTTGGAATAGTGTTTCTCTGCCAGCGTGTCCATAGACCAAGCAGTAAGTATTAATTCAGGAGATGAAGGTGCATTTATTTTGTCCTTTTTTAACTAGAAAAAAGACTTTATATAATAAATAAAAACAGCCCCACCGGACATATGCCTTTTTTAGTGGTAATATCCCAAAGCGTGTGTTAACTTTTAAACATCCTCTGCAGGTGCATATGGCAATGAAAGCGGTATGTCTGTGAGCTTTTCTGTGCTCTATCTGGGGGTGAGCCAAAAGACTGGGTCGGCTCCCTGCTCCACATTGTATTCTCTCCCTCCCTTTCTAACCTCTATTTTGGCCCTTGAGAAACAGTTGCCTTAAGGAATCATCACCTCAGTTTTCTTTAAAAGGTACAGGGGAAAAAATTGTTCTTGAATGTTAGGGCTGCTGCATTTCTGAAATGGTCAGGGGAAGAACACAAAAAAAAAGCTGTGTGTTTGCATTTAAAGCAAATTATCTTGTTATCTACAGAGAAGGGCAGAGGTCTTTATACGCCTATAGTGAGTCTGAATGCTTTAGAACAAATAAAAATACTTCTTCCCAGAGCTACAGTGGAAAGCATTTAAATGGAAGCTTTGAGAACATGGCTAGTGTTTTTTTTCCCTTCAGTTTTACTATCAAAGCTTTCATGTTTGCGAGTAGTCCTGGTGCTTGCTTTGCCTCATGCAATGCATCATGGTAGTAATACAGATGTTAGACTGGGTATCAGCTTTGTCCAAACCATGTTCTTCCCACCCCATCTTCTCTTAGTTTTAGGACCATCGCAATAGGATTTCCTCTTCTGTAATTATCTTAATCATGAGAGTTAAAACAAAAACCATTACATTTATTTGCTTTAGCTTTGCTAATTAATGTCAAATTGCCATCAATTTTTGGGTCTCATTAGTGAATTTCCTTGATGTTACATTGTTTCCAATTATCTACAATTATACAAAAAGCCTGACTAAGCCATTGTCCTGCAATAAGCTCCAGATGGGTAGAGGTGTCTGTTTCAATGGGAGACCAAGTTCTTCCTTTGTGCGTAACTTTGAATACAGTGTACTGAGCTATATTTTGTGATCTATTTATTTGGTTCTATTAGGAGACTGCATGCAGATTCTCCCCTTACAAATGAAGCAGCTCTAACTTAACTAGCTTTTGGAATTCTTTCTTACCCTTCCCAGCTCTTATGTCAGCAGTGTTGCCTTGCGCAGTGTTTGAGGTGGAGTACACTGGATACATCTGGTATCCCAAAAGAAGTTTCTGTTACACTCAAATCTGCCAATAGAGGGCAGCTTCAATTTTGTTGTTTTTAATATAGTCCAGAAAAAGGCAAAACTAAGAGTGATTGAAGCCAGCAGATCTGCAGTGGAGCTTATGCTTTGGTTTACCAGGGTTGAGAATCGAGTTCTCTCTGTATTTTTAATATAAAATCACAATACTGTTTTCCTGCCCGTTTTATTAAAATGTGGGGATACTTACATATATATATAAAAAAATTCTCCTCTTCTCCCACATTCCTGAAAAACATCCTTAAAAAAAAACCCAAAAGCACAATATATTGTGTCTCTTGGTACTAAGCTTACTTTTACATATTTGTGACTTAGATGGGCGCCTGCTGTTTGTTACACCGATGGACCCCTTATTTCTGGTACTTTACTACCTCATAAAGGCAGACAAGGAGGTAAGCCTGCTTTACTTTTTCACTGGAATTCTCAGGAGAAAGTGTTATTTCTGACTTCATTTTCTGCAGAAGTTATGTTAATTTTACAAAGAAGGGCCTCCAAAATAATGGAAACTTAATTTGCTTTTAAAGCTGAGATGTCCACCCTAGAAGTATTTTTGTTTGCATCAAGTGTTTTGGTCAGCATATTCCAAGAGTCAGCTTGCAGTCTAAACAAAACCTAATCACCTCCTTTTTTAAGAGAAGCAGAGAATCTCTTTTGTCCTTTTGTGAGAGCCTATCCCAGAACTATTGAATTTTAAATGACGAGATGTCATCAGAGTAAAACAAACTAGTGCCCTTTCTGAGGCATCAGTAGATGAGTCAGAAAGAAGAGAAAAAGAAAGAAGAATTTGGATGCTGTGGGAGAGGAAGAACCACCATTTCTGTGACAGTTCAAATTTGAAGGTAAACATTGCCTTTGTAGAAGCAGTATTTGTAGAGATGCTGTGTCTTAGAACAGCAACGGGATGATCAAGTATCCAGAAGTTGGATAATTAATAAGTGGCTTAATTGAGTTATCCTGGGTGTGGCAATACCTCACTTAAATTTCCAGAGTGTATCAAAAGGCATAGGCAAAGTTAATGATTTATTGTTCATAATCAGCCTGTAGAAAAAAAAGACATAATACAAAATGTAAATCATAGAATCATCGAATGGTTAGGGTTGGAAAGGACCTCAAAAAATGTTGATCCTTGTTTGTTTTTTTTTTTTTCATAGAGGCAGTAATTTCACTTTATGCATCCTAAGGGCTTTTGCTGTAAGAGCATTTCCTATAAGATTGCTTGCTACTTTCTGCTTTAGATTGCAAGTAGAGAATGCAGGAGAACAATTTTTATATGGTGAAGAAATAAAGTCCTGCTAGACATTTGTACTAGTAACCTATTGTTCTGTAATTATTTTTAAATTATTTATGGTATAGCATGTGCAAACGTTTTCCATATTTCTGTGGTCTGTTCCTGCTTCAGGGTGGCCCATCAGAAGCAGTCATTTCACAAGCAATAGTTGAGCTCGTTCTCTAGGTGTTGTGCTCGATGTTTGAATTCAGCATCCCTTTACACCAAGCTTTACACCAAATCTCTGCTGTCTATGCGGTAGAGCGTTGAGGTAGCCTGAATAAAGGGCTATTCCTGCTGTTTCTGTGCACGGGAAGAGTCCTATACTGCCCTTTATTTTCTCAGTACGTTTTTTTCTGGTTTTCTAGGCCAGGCATGGTGCCAGATAAATGCATAGAGCTGTTCCGGGTCCTAAATAAGGGCAAATGCATAAAACCTGCAGTGCCCTGCTTAAGTTAGCGTGTTCTTCAGTAAAGGGAGGTTTTGAGGATTGTGTTGCAGATTCCTCATGCAAGGCCAGCTTGAATGCAGCACAGTCACTTCTGGCTTGAACTAATTATTATCAAGGTACTCACTGGGTATCTTAGGATCATCCTTTGTTTTAGATAGTGTGATGCAGGGTTGCTTAATGTGTCTTCTGAGCACAGCCATCTCCTATCCAGCAGGCTTTCTTGGCTTAGGCTGTGTGCCGCTGCACAATGTAAATGTGGCTGTCTTGCTTCAGGATACAAGCAGGTTCATGCAAGTAAGTTACCTGTAGGAAACAGTTCATTGCAGCTTTATTTCTGCCTCTCACAACCTGCTTTTTGCCATTGCTATTGCGCCTTTTCTTTTTTTAGGAGAAAAAAAACTTTAAATACTTTCTGTGGGTTTTTTTTGTTTGGTTCAGGGTTTTTGTTTGGGTTTTTTTATTGTGATTTAACAATAGATGGCTACTTTTATTAAGTCTCTGACTGTCTAGCAAGAAAATTAATTAATAATGAAAGCAATATACCTAAGTACTTTTCTTGATCCTGACCAGTATAGTGACTTCAGCTTTGGTCCCTGAGACCATGCACTCTCTAAGGATGGAGAGCTCTCTGAGTCTTTGTACTGATGCACTAAAGGATCTTTCCAAAGGGAAGGCTGCCAGTTGTGCCAAACCGTGCTGAATGATGATGCATTGTTTGGCAAAAGCAAAGTTTGTTTGATGGTTCTGTCATGTGTAGGGCTATTTAAGTTGTGCCAAAATCACTTAATATACATACTGTGGCCAAACTGGAATTGACTTTGCAGAGGTGAAAGGTTAATACTGTGTTCCAGAAGTTGCCCTGCTCCTTTGAGATTTATCTTTATGGAAGGAAAAGCAAAATTCAAATGGAAGTTATGACACTGGGTTTAATCCAACAGGTTTTGGTCTAAAACACTATTGGCACATACTGACTACTGTGTCTTATGTCATCTTCCAGAAAATCCCGCTGTACTTCACATTAGTTTCTCCCCATGTTGTTTTAAATTTGGTCTTTTAAGTGCAGTAATTGAAGAGTTCAGCATTTTGCAGGTATTTACTGGTTTGAAATAAATATTTATAGTTTGCTTTGTAATCAGTTTCTGAATGTGTCATGTGTTACTGTTCAAAATTCAATCCTCTTTAAATCCTTTATTTTAAAGCTATGGCCATTGCATGCATATATATTTCTATATATATGTAGTGTGTATATGTGTCTTAACATTATAATAATGCTTTTATAATCTCTTTGATGTATTTTCAGCAGCAAGGAAAGTTCCAGCCACTTGATCAAGTTGTGCTAGACTCAGACTACCCTAGCTGCCCATTGCTGCTGAAGTGTGCAGATGTTAAACAATACATACATCATGTAACAGAAGAAAAAGGTGAAAAAAAGGGGCTGGAGGGGGGCAAAAAAAAAGACTGGATTTGTTAGTGCCACTTCATTACAAGATAGATTCAAATATTGTTTCTTGCTTTACCAAACACCCAAGGTGCTGGATGAAGCTGTGCTTTAAAAACAGAAGCTTAGGCTTAGAAGTCACCACTGCAGCACTGTAAATGGTAATGTGTGGATCTCAGACTATCTACTGTAACTCTAAATTACTTGTGCAGTGTCGTTGCTACGTATCATAAAATCATCAACTGATCAAAGCAGGCTTCTTGACATTATTGTGCGTGTTATGAACTTTCTTCGCCTTTTGATGGAAATTTTACATCTCTCTAAATTATTTAGTATACTATGGTTTGGTGTGTAAGAAGCCAACTGTTAACCTGTTTGGCTTTTTTCCCTCCCTTTGTCACAAAGCATTCAAACAATAAGTAGGAAAAAGCTGAAGAAGAGAGAAAGGAGAGCACAATTTTTCTAGCTTTGCATAATTTAGTGTTGTGGATTGTTGTGGTTTAACCCCAGCCGAAACCACGTAGCCGCTTGCTCACTCCCCATCCCTCAAAGGGAGGTGGAGGAGAATCAGAAAATAACCCTTATAGGTTGAGATAAAGAGAGTTTAATAGGACAGAAAAAAATAATGATAATAAAAGAATATACAAAATAAGTGATGCACAGTACAATTGCTCACTGCCTGCTGACTGATGCCCAGCCCATTCCTGAGCAGCAGCTGGCAGCTGGCCAACTCCTCCAGTATATATACTGAGCATGATGTTATGTTAAGGAATATCCCTTTGGTCAGTTTGGGCCAGCTGTCCTGGCTGTGCTCCCTCTCATCTTCTTGTGCACCTGGCAGAGCATGGGAAGCTGAAAGTCCTTGTCTGCTTAGCAACAACTAAAAACATCAGTGTAGTATCAGTATTGTTCTCATACTAAATCTGAAAATGTAGCACTGTACCAGCTACTAAGAAGAAAATTAGCTATATCCTGGCCAGAACCAGGACATGGGTTTAAGTTCAAAGATTTAATTTTTTTAAAATAAACCTTGATTGGGGTGCAAAAGTGTATGAGAGAGAAAACCTAAATGAAAAAAAATAACAGTATCAATTCTGTACATAGTGTCCTCAACCTTTGCCTAGAATTTCCTTTGGTATGGAGACTTTTATTTGAGGACAGTATATGCTTTCTAGGGAAGAGGAAGGAGCATTCACATCATTTTCACAGCTTGGCAGACCTTGCAAGAGATGCAAGACCTCAGTTCTTATATTCAACCCTTTAAAGAGCATCCTTATGCTTGCTGACTTCCTCATAGTGAATGGAGATTTACCTACATGCAGATGGAGATCTACAGGAGTCTGAGAACATGCAGTCTACCATCAAGTGCAAAACAGCTAAGCTGTCTGACCCTTATGCATGTAGAGTTCTCCAAGGAGCTGAGGTACACAGATTAAAAGCCAAAAATGTTAGGAATTTGTTTTCACAAAATGCTCTGCCCTTGTTGCTGATATATAAAAGAAGAAATATTTAGATGATCTAGAGATAAATGGGAAGTGGCTAAAGAAAGATGATGGAAGAATAAAAACCGTAAGAAGTAAAACACCAGACCGGTTTATTGCTGCATAAAACATCACGGTGGGGAGGAGCTGTGAGTTCTTCCGGAAAGATTTAGATGCACAAGTTGAAGTGTTTCCTGTGTCATGTGGTGCATATGCAGTAACGTAGGGCAGTTACTTCCCCCCAGAAAACAGTCTGAACTTTAGGGCAAGACATGTTTCCATTGAAAATGATCACTTTAACAAGAGAACAGGAACTCTGGGCAGCAAGACCGTTGTTGCATTCCTCTGGGAGTGGAATAGTTGGAATTATGCGCTATTGTGATACTCCTGGATTTATGAAAGAACCTTCGGAAAACATTTGGTTACGTTCGATGTCACTGGGAGTAAATGACCTTTTCCTTTGGGTGAGTTCTGACTTTTGAGAAGGCTTCTTTAATACAAGCACATCTGAACTGCAAAATTGCTTTTGCCTTCCCATGAAGTGATAAATACTTCCAGTAAAAACTATTGTTAAGCTTTTAAGTAATTGCTGTGCCCTACAACTTGTCTAACACTCGCTAAGGAGCTAGAGGTGAGAGAAGGGGTGATGAACTGTCAAACTAAGAAGTCTGTATAGGAATGTAGGACAAGGTCTGGACTATTTTTCTGAAGGGGCACTTCCTCCGAAGAAAAGTGCTGCCTTTGTGCAGTATTTATGTTCACTTCTTCACAGCAAAAGAAAAATTAAAAAAAATAGAAGTATTTGTTACAGAAAAGGTCTTCTGTCTTGGTCTAACCTCTGTATCCATTCTGAAATTGTATTTGCAGTTGCTACCCGTCAGAGCATAATGTATTACGTACACTTATAAGTCTGTGTCATTTTGCCAGCAAATGGTACTAACTATTAAAGGAATTATGTTCACGTCCTGGTTTTTGTTTTGAAATGTAAGGTAAAAATTGCTTTTGTCATTAAAGCCTGCACACACATGCACACACCTGCTGCATGTGATGTTCTTGGATGTCCCTAGGCAAGTACCTGCTGCTTCTTGTTCAGGTTTGGATTGGGTAGAAAATAATAGCAGGGCTTGTTGATAGGACTTCTTCCGTTTTTTAGAACACCAAGCTTACTGTTATGCAACAGACACAATGGTGCATGCTTGCCTGTCATGCACAGATCACCTTTCTGTTCAATCCACTTCTATGTGTTTCATATTCTCATGTCTTTTATTGCCTGTAAAAATAGCAATATTATGACTAAGGTACTCTTTTCTAGCTCTGAGACTTGTCCACTTTGTAGCCTTTCTCATTTAAGGAGTAGGGCTTTAGGGCAAGAAGTATCTGTTGTATTGAGTCTTCTGCAGCTCTCATCTGTTTGGCAGAACCTAACATCATCATTATTTCACTCGTAGTTTAATCTTAAGGCATTTAACATCTGTCTAACAAATTCTTACTCTAGAGTGCTCACAGTTTACACTTACTGAATTATCAGAAAGTCCACCTCCCCTGGCCTCTGTGTTGAAGGGCACTGAAAATTCACTTTGCTGGATTAAATTCATGGTTACCTGCTTTAGTAGTTGGTGAAAGGGTGTGTTACAGTTCACCAAATCTGGGTGAGGCAGGTTGTTTACTAATAAATTTAAACATTGGATAGAAAGTACAATAGAGAAGGTTTAAGAAAGGGTTATGAATTCCAGTTCTAGAGTGTTACTCTGTTTCATTTTGCAAGGCAAAAACTGTGCTGTGATCTTGTCTGATGTGATTAACATGAAGAGCCAAGAAAACTTACCTGATTAGAATAACTAAGTAATGTTGCCAAGCTTGTATTCCCAGAAGGTAGGAAAAAAGGGGCCATATGAGTTTCAGAGTTATGGAAAACACTGAGAAAATGGATGTTAAAATGTGCTTTAGGCAGTTTGCTCAACAATACATCAGGGAAACTTCCAAGTCTACATAGCGATTACCCGATCGCTGAACATATTATTTAATTGTAGAACCACTTATATTCCATCTGTATTTCTCAAACCCAATCTTTCCAGATGTCTCAGACCAGTTTTATAGGCACCAGACACATTAGGGAACAAAAGGCTTTCCAATATATGCTCATATTATCAAACATAGTCGCTAACTCTCACCAATATCAAATGTGCATCACATGTTAAATCCACGTTCCAATATTGAATCCTTTTGTCAGCAGTTTGTGACTTTAACAACTCACTTTAATTCTTCAGAGGTCTCAAATATTGTCAGTTTCTCGAGTTTAATAGTCAAAACTGTCAAGCACACAAAGTATTTTCAAACAAAGTGATCTCTGAAGGGTTCAGTGTAATTATTTTTCACATGTTTTAATGAAAATGGCTTCACAGTTCTGCGTTTCCTTTCCCTAACTGAGTCACTCTGAATCGTGCTGTTGTGGGGGTGTCTGCCTGGGAATCCGCACTAGAATTACTTTTCATCAAGGGTTGGGGGACGATGGTTGGAGGATGTCCCTTCCTCGAACTTTCTAAGATAAGAGAGGAATCCACGAATCATACTCTCTGTACTTGGACCCAAACCATGTTCGCTCTTTGAGAAGCAGGTTCAAGTATCCAGAGTGTCTCCCCCATTTTCTGCTTCTTTTCTTTCAGAGCCATTTAGAAGCTTCTAAGTCCTAAAGACTGCAGCCAGCAATGTCACAGCTAATTACTCTACCTGCAACTCATCAACTTCATGAAGCAAAGTGTATATTGGTGGTTGTTTTTCCTTCTTGCTCTGAAGAATTTTTGCATTTTACTCTTTTACAACTGTTGAGATAGATTTAAAGTTTAGCTTGTAAACAGCTTTTCCTGACCTCTCCATACCCCCTACCATGCATACACAAAGAGCACATAATAGTTAGCCATTTGTATGCAATTTGAAAGAGCCAAGATAAACCCCAAAGAAGGAAATGCTGAAGGAATCATAAATAATATGTTGTTGTTTGCAAGGGGAGAAGGAAAATCCATGAACTGAGTGTTGGAATATGATACTGGATCAGTAAATGACATGAAACAGATGTAGGTATTTATGGGAATGGTATACAGAAAATTAAAACTTATTGAAATACCTGTTAAAGACTGAAACACAGTGGACTCTGCAATCTCCTGTGTAATCTTATTAGGCATTTCATTCCATTTCCAAAATGTGGCTTTCTGTGAATTAATACTGAATTTTCATACTGAAATTTCCAATGAACCTTTAATTTTCTCTTTGCTTTGCCTCAACATTGTGAACTTGCCTATCTCCAGATAACTGATCACATGTGAATAGCAGGTGTTCATGGTACTCTGGTTATCACAGGGGAAACACTTTCTGAAATTTTTACGTTGTTGAGTTAATTTGTGTTGCTCAGTAAATCATAAATGAATCGTGTACTTCTTCCCACAAGGAGTGTGTTTCACTATTTTGGATTCTGTATTTTCTATGACACTATGCTAAACTAAGTAGAAGGGAAATAGAAGTAAAACTTTTGCGTTAGTCACCCTGTGAAGTGAGAGGGGAGAACTGATAGGAAAAGGGTTTATTGAAAGGGTAGATGGTTTGACTTCACTAACCAGCTGTCTGTCTTGGCTCCTTACTGCGTGTTGGAATTCAATAAGTAAAGATTTAAGATATTATGTTTAAAAAGAAAAAAAAAAAAAAGCAGTCCTGGAACCAACATTTTGTGTTGTGAGCTATGTAGTTAAAATGACCAGTCTGGTGACACAGGACAGTGAAGGTTTGTCAAATTACAAGGGCTTGAGAAGAGTCTTAGTGCACTTATTCAGGCATCCCAAGATCACACACAAATAAAATATGTGCTTTGCTGGATCAGGGCCTAATTGAAGAATTGTCAAGTTGTTCAGCCTTGTGCATATCCGCTCAGTCTGTTTATTTTTCCATGTTTCCAATATTTTTGAAACTTGTTGCCCTGATATCAAACATGTGCAAGCTGCAAATTAACTTTCATGCTGTATCTACAACTTAAAATTTTAAATGTATTGAAAACACAATCCAAACCAGTCACAACTTTTTCCCTTACTTGTTTTTTTCTCAGAGTTTGGCAGTCAAAAATTCCACAAATACAGCCAAGAGAAGACACTGAAGTGGTTAAAGAAAAAGGTATTGCATTTCTCTTTTGCTTTCAAAATTGCTTTATGTTTAAGATGAAAATGCTTATTAGCTTGTCCATATCTGCATTTGAGCCATGTGATGTGACTTTGTTCAAGGTAAATATCCTGTCCAAGAAGTAAGACATCACAGTAGAGTTGTCGCACTTGAGAATGTGATAAGGTATTAAAGAAATGACAAGTTTGTTACATTCCTCTTTCTGATGAGCGGGCATGAAAGGGATTCATGGAATGTGGGGAGGCAGAAGAAGAAGTAGTTCAGTTTATCACTGTGTTCTGTAGGCTTTGCATAAGGTGAGGGCTTCTCTTGCTTCAGCCACTTCACAGATAGGCTAGAGGAGAGCTTTAATTGTTGCAACATTTAATTTCTGCCATGACTTAAAGCTGGACAGAAATGCCTTGGTTTTGTGATACAAATGGGTTTCCTTGTGAAGTTTTGGCAGTCTTTCAGAATAGTCCTGGTATGGTTGCTGCTATTCTGGTCTGATCATGCTGTTCAAGAGGTCTGAACAGTATGCAGAAAATAAACTAGTTGTATAGCTAAGCTTGTTGTGATCTGTGTTGTGGTATAACAAAGGTGAATCTCATTTTACATACACGTACACGTGTGCCCCTACTATGATGCCACTTTCTAGAAAAAGACTGTATGCATCACGTGATACAAGGAAGCCTTGTCATTTAAATTAGTCAATGCAAGCACAAGATATTGCCTGCTTTCTGCAACAATGAGACATGGGAATATCTATTTTGCAATGAATACCTGAATAGTTCCGTTTGAACAGATAGCTGTTTGTGTTGTTGAAAATATCTTCTTCTGCCAGTTATCTCTTTGTTAGATCCAGCATAGCAGTGCCCTGTAAAGTCCTTAATCTTTGATTTCCATCAGGACTGCCTTTGCAATCCAGCTGAGCTCAGGCATTCTCTGTTCTCCGAGCAGGTGTATTTCTCACCTGTATAATCATGGCTGTTGAATCTGAGTAGCTCAGCTCGTCATAGGGTGCTGTGAAACTGGTGCTGTGTTGCCAAGGCAACATGTTCAAAGACATGCTAGTTTCTTTGGGTTTTTTGAGATCATATGCTAGTCATTACAAATGTATATTAAATTTCACCACAGTCCATAACTTGAGTGTTTTATATGCTTGAAACAAAATTACAAGAGCTTTGTCACTGCATTAACATGTGCATAACAACACTGGTACAGACGTTTCATTCTGTGGTTTCCTATAGGTCAATCAAACAGTGAAAGCACTTAAAAGCAACAATATATCTGTAGGTGAAAGGGTATATGCACCTACGTTTGTCAGCGGTAAACAGATCACAGATACTGAAGAAGGTAAGAAAACTAAACATTGTCATAAATTCGATTTTTGTGAAATTGCATACGTGAACATAAAACGTATGATTAGAATCCAAAATGTGTTGAAACTGGCTTTTGCAGTAAATCTATTCCTTGTACAGAAAGTTCCATATATGTTGTGACTGTGTGCCTCAACTTTTCGGAGTTCTTTGGCATCTTCTTCAGATGACATTGTAATTAACAGTAAGTCTCAGCAATTTAGCTTCTGCTTAGTCCAAGGCGAAGATGTTTTTCCCAGTGAAATATATACTGAAGTGCTTTGCTGAACTGTGAGACTGTCTTGGACAATAGGACACATGCTTATAATATATATGAGTATCCACTCAGTAAGTGTCTCTGTATTGGACAGACTTACTTTTTATTATTATGTTTATTAGCATGCAAATACTCTTCACAGAATTCTCCAAAAAGGGAAGGGATCTTAGGAAGTCATAGTCACAGTAAAAGGTTCTGATCCAAACATTACTTTATGTGACAAATGTATAGGATATACAAATGTGTGCTTATTAAGGGCAAAATCTTTAATAATACGTATATTAAATTGCCCTGAAATTGACAGTCCTGGTACCAAAAAGTCTGGAGTCATCCTTTTTGCTTCTAGTCACTTTTTGTCTGAGGAGGGCAGTGTCCTGAATGTTACTGGGATATGAAGTTGTGTAGAGAAACCTGAAAACAGACTCAGAATAAATTTTCAAATATTAATGAAAATTAAGAAAAGTTTAGAACAAGACAAACGAAAGCAAATTGTTTCTTGTTACAAAGACATTCAAAAGTCTGCATGCTGTTGAAAAATAGGGAGAAACAAAGCAACTTGCTGACGAAGTGGAAAATGAGTTACCAAGTAATGATATCAAAGGAAACAACATAAACGAGATTTAAGAGGCAACTAGACAGTTTTATAGAACAGAGATTGTAATATATGGTTATTGAAAAGAGGCAAAGCTGCTAAACTTGTAAGTGACTTTAACTTTACAGTAGCTTTTCATCTTTTTCCCCAGCCTCGTTTTTTTTAAAGAAAGGGAAAATTGTCCTGACAGCAACCATCTTGACTATGCTTAAATACTTTATCTCTGAAATTTGTAATTAAGCAGTTCATCTGCAGTGTTTTTTCCACCTTCCTCCTTGTTTATAACAACATGGATATAATAGTCTTTTAAAAAGCCTTTTTTAGATTTAAAAGAGCAGCATTAAAATAGGGAATACGGGGAGTTAAAAGTAGGTAAGTTTTGGAGGCAGTCCCACTGTATGTAGCAAGGTGCATGACAGGAAGTCAAATGGACCTTACTCAACACTTATTTTTAATAAGACTAATTTTCTTGTCTGATCCTTTCACTGCCATGACAGTACAATTTATTTCTGTAGAGAATTGCTTTCATAGGCATATTATGACATTCCAGTACTTTATAAATAGATAGATATATGTAGTTAGCATGTACAGATGTTGTAGGGCAAAGATCTGGGAGGATATAATGAGTGCAAATGGGGAAGAAGGGGAAGTTTAACATTTGAGACCTGAATATTTCATTCAGAAGACAAAGAGGGGAGGTGTGCAAGTATTCCTGATGTTTGACAGGAGGTTAATAACAAAGCGAGGCTAGGGTGAGAACACAGACGCCCTAGAAGGCAAACAGTGGTATTTTAAAATTGGTAAAGGAAGTCGGTGAAGATTGCTTCAAGGCAGAAATGCAAAGAGAATGGATTCTGTATTTAGTACAAAATAACAGCAGTTGACTTGGACTCACTATTCAGTGTCATAATGCAAAGAGTGAAATATGGGAGTATTTTTCTTCAGCGATAAATTGGACATATTAAGTGCTGAGGTGAAATTGTCTTGGATTGGAATTGTGTCTCGTTCTCTCCTGACCCTACAGTGGGCTTAGGGAGTGACAAATCCTTGATGAATCTAGGCAGTGGAGGAAAGAGAAGTGCAGATAGGAGACACTAAGAATTTGATGTCAGTATAGTTGAAATGCGTAGGCTGGTGTCGGTTTGTTAATGCTTTCTGCTTCAATGCCAGCTTGAACTGGGCTTTTTAGATTAAAAAAAAAAAAAAGAGGAAACTGTCTCTGGCACAGAAGAAATAGTTCTTTACCACCCTGAGGCTAGTTTACCACGTGCTTCTGAACTCTCTAAGTGTGTAGGCATATGAACAGATAGAGCTGGCCTGTTGTAGATAGAATTCAAGAGGTGAGATTTTAGCTTAATGTCTGTCTGGCAAATACTTCCTGTGCATGGGTGCAGTCACTCCCTAGCAACCCCAACAACAGCAAATTTAAAAGATCCAGCCCATGATCAGTAAGTGCTTGTGTAGAACGTGACCGGAAAAGATCTGGTTTAGGACTTCATGTTATAAAAGGGTCACTTTTTTTTTTTCTTCAGTCTCTCAGAAAAACATTTATAGCAGGAGTGCCCTGTACTGAAAACAGCTTCTAGTAGTTCATATTTCCACAGATAATTATCCTGTCTTGCCAGTGATGTTTAGATAGGCCTTGGCGTTTTCGGTAAAGTACTGAAATTAAGTACAAGACTTTGAAATAGACTCATTGTCTCATCTAATTGTTTTCAGTTGAAGCCAGAAAACGTACTTTAGTACTGAAGCTCTTGCCAAATAATTGTAAGATCCAGATGCTTTAAAATTAATGATAGCGTGTTCTGTTGAGTCAGCTTTTTGCTTTTGCAGGTTTTTAAAATTTAATTTCTTCAGAAAAATACATGATATCTAGTATTCTCAGAAAGTGAACAGCTTTTGTAAAGTACATACGGCAGATATTAATAACATGTGCTGACAAAGTGAGTGTAGTAAGTCTTTACTTTTTAAATAAACCTACAAGTGTCATATAACATAAACTACTCAACACAGAGAACCATTGCAGTGTATCCATTAGAAGTCTCGTACTATTAATTCAACCTTATGATTTATGGTAGCACGCACAGCATGGCTAAGGCAACGTGACTATATAATGTGAATGTTCTTTTTCTTCTTCCCTCTCCCTGCCCTGTTCCTGAAGACTATGTACGGTATGCCCATGGGTTAATATCAGAATATATTCCTGAAGATCTGAGTAAGGAGTTGTTAAAATACTTAGGGTAAGTATTCTTCCAGGTAGCTGATAGTTTTATATGGCGTGTATTAATGTCCTTTTGGTCATTTCTATTGAATACTGAAATTTGTTCATCGAGGTTGCAGTGAATGACACAAGAAATGGTATTTGCCACACTTTAAATGTGATTTTTTTCAAATGTAGATTATGCCTTTCTGTTGTTCCCGTGATGCTAAGGACGATGGGCTGAAGGAGAGATGTAATATACAAGCCTGATATGTCTGTTATCACAGTTCCATCGTGAAACCCTGAACAATGTATCCTATTTTAAAGCAAGACGGGGAAGGAAATCCAAAGAGTTAAAGCAATTTGTCCAGAACTATCAAGCGCAAGCAGCAGAGCCAGGAGTAGAATCCTCATCCCCAGTCCTCTTTCCTTTTCCCTACTCACTCAGTGCTGCTGGGATTTGACTTCACATATCTAACCTGTGTTAGTTTATATTTAAATCCGGAAGGTGAGCCAGCATCCTCATCCTGGTGTTCCCTGCCAGCAGCAGGCTTCGCTTGGAGCATCACTGGGACCCCGCACCTGCCTCTCAGTTCAGTTCCATTCGAAGGGTTCCGTTATGGTGGCCTATGGAAAAACGTGCAATTTGCAGCTTGAAATCCCATAGCTTAACAGTTTCAGTGAAGAGATGTTATCTGTTTTATAATATCATCTTACTAATAGCCAAGGTTTTCAAAAGTAAGGTGGAGTTCTCCTCTTTTGGTTGCCAGATCTAACTTTGAAAAGAGCCCATGTTTCTAGATGGTGTCTGGCTCTGTTTTAGTTATCTAACTCAGAAATACAGAGTTCGTGAGCTGCTTTTTTTGCGAACACATGCCATGTGTGAGCAGCTGATAACCAAAGCAGCCTTTGTGGGGAAGGAATTATAAGCTTTGGGTTGTTCAATCCAGCTGTCTTAATTTATAACTTAAAATCTTTTGTTCTGCAGGCTCTCAGAACTTAAAAGCCCAGCACCAGAGCCGCCACTGAAGGTAGGAGAACGTTAAGATATTGACAGATACATTATGTTGTGAGCTAATTTCTCTGAATTATTATTAAAACTAGACAAGGCCAAGCACTGGATACAATACAATAAGTAAGTTGGCCTTGTGAAAAGCCAGTCTGAAATAAAACAAGAAATTTACCAGGTACTTCATATTTTTAAATAAGGAATATTTTGATTGATTTTCCTGCTTAAAAAAGGAGAGGGAAA